ATTGTGTGATATTTTGATTGTACAAATTTGTTTGGATAATCAGTAATATCTGATTGGTTGGTTTTAAGGTGATGATCAGTTGACAGGAGTAAACTGATTACAATTTTTTGATAGGAAATTTTTTGAGTGGAAATTTTTTGGTTTTTGTGACACAACATATTGTACTGGGCAATAGTGAAAAGTAGGTATTGTGTATACTGCTGGTACTCCAAACCAACAATACAAACAATAGTGATGTAAGATTTGATATTTTGAAGTAAAGAATAGCTCTCCAAGAACAAAAAATAGTTATTTAATAAGAATTGTTTTTTAATAAGAAGTGTAAATAGGAGGAACTCCAAGAAAAATTTGTAAAGAAGTAATTGCCACAGGCCTTTCCTCAATGCAATCCAAGAAAATAGCAAGGTCCCCAAACTTACTTTTCCCTGGTCAGAGGTTCCATCCCAATGCACCAGAATACTTTTCTAGATTCCTCGAGGTTCCTATAGTGAAGGTAATAGAGGTGTGAAGAATTGTTAGGTGGTTAAAGGCAAAGATAAAAAAAACTATTTCTTTAATTTTGAAAAAAATTACTATAAAAGAAATTTTTGAGAAAAATGTTGTGTACGGGAAAAAGTTTTTTTTTTTTTTTACCTATAGGTCATTATAAAAAAATACTTATTAAATATTTATTGAAATTAAAACAATAATATATTATTTATTCAATTTAATTATTATTTTTTTTTGCCTTTAATCAGATTGTAAGAGTTGCGTTTATTCATTCATTTTGAAAAACAGTAGTACAATATAAATACTATACTAAAGCTAAACTGTCACATAATTTGCAGAACACCCATCAATAAATTTAGATTTGTATGTGATTCTTGAATCCTTAATACCAAGACCACCATGTTGCCCACATGATTAGCTATTTACTAACTATTTCACTACAAGGGAGTAGATTCATTAAGCTATTACTGCATGATATTAACTATTTTAGACTTTTTAAATTTAAATTTTCTAGATGTAATCATCGGAAATGAAAAAGTTGCTTCCTTCCAAGACTAGGCATCAAAGACTTTGCCTTGAAAGATCTCAGCCAATCTACATTCAGACTGTTACCCCAAATGACCCTGTGGTCTTAAGAGGTAAAAAAATTTTTTATTTTTTTAGAAAAAAGAAGGGAATAATAAGGGTAGTTAAAAAGTTTGTTCTGGTAAATAAAAACCCTTTAGTATCAACTTCAATCTATCGGGATAAATCCTTTACTACCACCTGCAGCTGGGCAAACAATTTAATTTTCACTATTCTATTGCTGACCAAGAACATTCAAGGTACTTATAACAAGTCTTATACCTATAAGGAATTATTGCTTAAAACAAGACTTATACCTTAAGAAATTATTGCTTGATGCCTTCTTGGGATAATAAACAGTAGAGAAAGCTTGTTACTGGATTGGAATAAGACTTTTTTTGATTCTAAAGAGAAAAGAAACCAGTTCAAGAGAGAAGGGAATCATCATAATGCTTTTTGACAAAAAGAACACCTCATCACCTTGCTCCTTTCACTGTATCCAATTGCATCATCGGGTTTTATGTTGTACAAGATAGGGCATGTAGGAGTTATATGTCTTATTTACATTTCTTGCTATGTGTAAATCAACCAGTTCAAAACTCAAGCCAATCACCATTCAAGGATTTCAGTGTAACCAAAAATTCAGGGTTAAACTGAGATAAGCAAAATTCCCCAGAAAAACCAGAAACAAGTTTACATGCTTGAAAAAATAGAAGGAAGCTTGAGGAAGATGAGAAAAGAGTTCCAAAAACTGTGTTAGTTTTTTCTAGAGTCTTGAATCTCTGGAAGAAGAGAGGAGTGGATTTTTTCTACAGGTTCTTTTTCCTAGCAAAGTTTTCTTGTCTTTAACTTTGTAGGTAGATATTTCTTGTATTTACTTGCAAAAATACAGGAAGTTTATGTTAAAGAGAGAAAGAAACAAGTGGTGAAGACTATTGTCTTTTGGTATAAGTGTTGTTAATGAAAGTGTATAGACTTTATTACAGGGAAATATAAAATTTCCTTGGAACATCTGTTTTTTGTATTGGCAAAAGGATTAGCGGAAAGAGTTTTTTTATTTATTTAATTTAATTATATTATTTTGTTTTTCTTATATAATATATAGCTTGTGAATCAAGTCAAACTTTTAAAATTTTAATTTTAATTTAACTTATATTATAAAAATAAAACTTAAGCTTGACTCTTTTGAGTTTTATATTGAGCTAACTTGAATTAATTTAATTTTTTCAGAGCTTTAATTGGCTCGAAATTTGAATTAGTTGATTTACATATAGCAAGAAATATAAACAATATATATAAACCCTATATATTTTATCTTATACAACTTATATCTGATGATATAATTGATAACAATAGAAAGAGTAAGGTAACAAGATATACTTTTTAACAAAAAAAAACTCTTTCCCACTCCCCTTTCTACACTTGAAAATTTCTTTTTTAGGAAATTTTTGAGTTATTTACTTTTTCTTTATTTTCTTCTTTCCCTTCTCTCTATGCCTCTTTCCCATACCTCTTTATTTCCTTTCTCCTATCTTCTTCCTTTTCTTCTATATACTCTTTTTTTTATTTTTACCCCTTCCTTCCTTCTTTCCCTTTTTTTCCTGCTGAAGCTAGGTTTTTTTCTTTTCCCTGAAGGTTTTTCTCCCTAGGTCTCTCTTTCTTTTGAAAATACCATCTCCATAACATCACTCCTCTGGCCAGTTGACTCCCTTTTCTCAAGAACCATATCAAGAAGTAGTAACCTTTCTTAAAATATAGACTTTAGGAATTTTTCTCTCTTCCATGGCTCCTCAGAAAAAGGACAGATAGCTTACCCTCCAAAAGATCAACATGGTTATCATTACCAAACCCGGCGTTGTTTACTGATCGGCAGTTAGACTAGATATGCTCAAGAAATCTCTGTACAACTATTATTATCTGAAAGTACCCAAGGAGTTGCGCCCCACAATATCCAGAATAAAATGATAGCCAATGCCAATGCAACTAGCATTAAGCTAGATTAATTGCAGGTGTCATGCTGGTGATTGGAGGACTTAGTAGAGTAATATATGATGACTAGGGATTTTAGTTACCCCCGCAACACAAGCTGGTGACGACAACAGAAGTTTCTCGCTTACCCCTTTGACAATGTAAGTCTATTATACAAGGTTGGGTTTCAGCGCCATTAAAAAAACCAATAAGAACTCTACCCATAGAACACTTCCATCATATTTGAAGCATAGGTGTGCCAAATCCTTTTTGTGACTTGAAGACAAACCTGTATAAAGTGGCTGCAGCACCTTCATGCAAAAAGGTACTTATCTTCTACCACCTCCAACACTACTCTGCTTGCCGTACATCAAGCCATATTTGGAAAGCAGATGTGCCAATCCTAATCATAACTTGGAGGCCAACCTGTATAGATTGGCTGCAGTGCCTTCATGTAATTAGATATATATTTAATTTCAGATAGCTGGACGCCATTCATAATTAGATATAGATTTTTGAATTTCTTTTTGTCTATATTTTTTGGATAGCACTAAAAGAACACAGGGATTGAACCCTATATGGGAGCCTTGCATTAAACTCTTTCTAGCAAAGAGAGACGTATGTCGTACTATTGATTATTGTACCTTATCTTGTAAGTGAAAGTATAATAAATATAATAAAATGTGATAGCTATTTGCTCTTTTCAAAAAAAAAAAAAAGATATACTTTTTAACAAAAGAAGTAGTTTGATGCTTTTCTCTTTTTCTTTTGAACTGGTTTTATTTTTCTTTAAAATTAAAGAAATATCTAATTTCAATTCAATAATAAGCTAGCTCTACTGTTAATTATTCTGAAAATAGTTGAAAAAAGAAATCTTAAAACTATTTACTAGTTAAATAAAATCATAAATTCTTGAAGAATTAGCTAGAAAAGAAATCACTAATTAAAATACTGATCCTTTTTAAAGATTAGAAATTTTTAAGCATAAAGTTTTAAGAAATATTTTCCTAAAAGTGCTCTTAAATATTTTTTATTAATAATGGAATAATGAAAATTAAATGGTTTTTCAATTATAGGTGATCAGATTAAATAGTAATCAAGAAAAGTTTTTGTTTTATCAGTACAAACCTTTTCTTTTTCCTTTTCACTTTTAATTTCTTAAAAAAATAATAATTTTTTATTTTTATAGAACCACAGTGATAATGTAAAGGTAACAATCCTGAATAAGAACTGGCTGTAATGTTTTAGACTAGTAGAAGTATCAAAATAAAATTGAGCAATAATTTTATTCTCTATTATCACTTTAGGCTTATGACAGATGTGCTGCATAGCAATACAAAAGTTTAGCTTTATTATAGTATTCTTAATAATAAACTAATTAACTTGCAACCTGTTTTGGAATAAAAATAAAAAATAAATTTATATTTAATACATTTTAATATATAAATACTTTAACTTCTTTAATTCCAGAGCATAACCCGGACTAATGAGCTAATTTACACTATACTATAAACCGTTTTTCTTTATTTTCTTTCTCAGGTTTATAATGCTACTATCTTCCAAGATATGATTTAGTAAAAAGCTCTAACTCGGTGATTCATTTTTTACGACAAGAGTTTGTGAAACAAAGAATAATCTAGCAAAAGTAGACAAAAATAATAACTGTTTTAAAAGTGTTGTTGTCACGATTTTTATATCATTTATTTGTAGAAGTCTCAGCAACATTTTTGTTTTAAGAAATAAGTTAATAAATTTCATATGATCGATCATCAAGTGTGACAAATCGTGTGACTGTTAAGTGATTCTTCATTACTATTAAATTTAAGTACACAAGCTACTTTACAAATTGTTACTTGTATCCGTTCCTTGTTGACACAATTGGTGGCAATGTATAAGAAAAGGATATGGGAAACCGATCATGGTATAATTATTTAGTCTATTTTATCTAGGTAGATTTCAGCTTCTAAATTCTGTTATAAATGTCTTTTTCAGAGCTGGTACAACCAACACGATCAACAGAAACGGATAAATGGAAAAAGGCTAGGCGCGAAGAGAACACTCAAGGTATTTTTTTCTCCTTTCAAGTGAGATAGTCACAGACCGAAGAAGCAACTGATCAAGTTTTGAAATAGGCATAGACGAGATTTATATCGATTTTAAGAAACAAGTATTCCGACATAATACCAATGAATTAGCGTTGGTTATTATTGAGGTGATGCTGGATCTCGGGTGTTGTGCAAGATGTGTGTTCAGATATTTAAACGTCCAGAATTATGATGTTTATTCTGAACCCAAAGAGGTAAATTGAACGTGTGATCGTAATCAATGCATAGATTCTGTTTTTCCCTGATAGGCTTGAATGTATTAGATCCTATTTAACCTTATTAATCGAATCCGGCAAGAAGCATCAAGATCCATTGATTCGTCATTAACATCATACCTCGAGCATTCTTTGACTGTACCGCCTTCCCATGAAACTTTGGAGAAACCCATTTGTGTTACATGTCTCGATCTTCTCTATCAAGTAGACACGCACGAATGTGTCTGGCCCATTCATCAAAGTACTCTGATGCACAACTTCGATGTTAAAGATTTTAATTTATCAATCTCACTGCCCTCCGGAATTTTAGTAAACAATCACTCAATGATGGTTTGGATCCGGAAAAACTGTAGGTACGTGATATATCGCCGAAATACTGAACTTGATCATAGAAAATATTTTGATGACATTTGCCGTGAAGAACAGGGATCGACAGATTGAACATTGCCTGGAGATGATAGTTGATCTGAAAGAAATTTTCAAGTTTTTGTTGGGTTCGTCTGTTGAGGAAAAAACCGGAATGAAGTACTCCTATCAAAGTTCATTTAACATAGCTGTAGAATTTTATCATGATGGTACGCAACGCAATCATATGATCTTGACTCAGATTCCTTCAGCGGAATTTAAACTAAAAAAGACCTGGGTCAAGGTAAAGAGATTGAATTTCGGGAACTTCAAACCACAATCGCATGAAATTTGGTCACTCGTTCATACCATTTACCAAGAATCTTATTTCACACTCCAGGGAAAAACTGTTTTCGTAGGAGATTCGCGATCGAACATCACAAATACTTTATTAAAAGTCTCTGATGATGATTTTTTAAAGTTAGTTTACGTAAATGAAGTGTTGTCGTCAAGTCAATTTTATTGATTTGAATTTTCACATCTAATAACCAATAACCAGATGCCAATATTGTCCCCCGCCTGTCGTCGAAGAGAGATGGAAAAGCAAAACACCAATACTGGAACACGGGCCGGTTCATGTTGGAGGTTCGTAGGATATTGTTGGAGAACCCAATATTGCGAATAGCGACTTTCTTTCACCTCCTCTTTTTCACATCTGATCGCCATCATGGATGTCCCGTGGTTCTTTGTTATTTAGGTCGTTATAATAAGTTATCACGAAACATTAGTCAAACTCCCTGGGTAATTAATGGTGTCAAATTAGCTCCGACATCAGTCTCGGAATGTATTGGAGAGATATTGCGAGAGAAATTCAGATGTGACGGTAACTATGTTAGGTTTTACATTGCACTTGGCACCAAGTTTACTTGGTTTTTTAGTTTAAAATAAACGTTTTTTCATGTAGACTACACTTTTGTGCCTGCGGGCCGGGAAGATGTTAATGTGCGCATGTTGGGCACCGGCAGACCTTTTTTTCTGGAGATGATTAATCCTAGGAAACCACATCCTTCACAAGAAGAACTAAATGCCGCACAAGACGAGATTAATGAAAAATATCAAGACTTGGTTCAATGTAACGAATTGACAATGATTGATGAGTATGCAGGAAATTTGTGAAACTTTATTTTAATAATCTAATGTATTACACGAATTATTAAAATCTTGTTTACACACATGTAGAAATGATTTGCTTATAATCAAAGAAGGCGAAGAGACCAAAACGAAAACCTATAGGTTCATTCTCTCTTTTTTTTGTTTTAATGCTGACTGCAATAACTGATCTTTTGATAACCTATCTAATCTAATGGAAATAGCGCGCTAGTATGGAGTTCTAAAAAAGTTACCCCCGACGTAATCGAAAAAATTAATGTCTATAAGGATGGACTGACCATTGAACAACAAACTCCAATTCGCGTATTACAGAGGTACAGTTGGAAAATATGCGTGATCATTGATATTCTTGCTCGTAAGTAATCGCCAAGTTCTTCCACTGATCTAAATTGTTCCTATCAGACGTTCACCCATGGTACGACCTAAGAAAATTCATCATATATTTGCTGAGTCGATGAAAGATAACCAACAGGTGTTCATTTTAAAATTAAAAACCGAAGCCGGAACGTATCCTTCATTTATAAAAAAAAATTGTTTTTTTGAAATAAAAAGGGACAAATAAAATTTCCTTGACCAAGAAAAACTTTTTTTACCTAAAGTTACATTAAAGAATTCATTCATGGTGATTTAGGTAGAACCAAACCAAGTTTAGGCGACATTATTGAATGTACAACGGATATATTAGCCTTAGATGTATTAGAAGTGGATTTGACATGGCCAGTCAATTAAAATCATGGTATCCAGACCTTTTTCTTGAATACCAAGTTTTCGATTCTCTACAATTCACTATTGTCATCGTTCGTGTTTACTATAATAATGGTGCTTCCCGAATTTCGGTTGCTACAACAATTCCTATGATTTTTTTCTTCTTTTGGCTTTGTTGATCATCACAGAGAGCTTGATTATTTCTTCTGCTTCCAACGTCGATTCGGGATTAATAATGTCAACGTGTTCATCCTTTATATACTCTTGAATCGTTTTTTAGTTTCTTTTTCTTTTTGTTGATCTGTGTAAAAATTACTTTTTTTGTTGGGCGTATACGTAAAACTTCTGGATAGTCATTGAGATCATCTGTGTAACACTTATTGTTACGTAAGCACGTAGATTAAGTCAACCCAGCTTTCATTTCCATACGTTTATAACCATAAAGATGTACGTTTTGTTAGCTATGCGATCGAAGTCTTTTACTGCCAAAATTTTGCTTTACGTTCATTAACGTGGCTTAGACTTATTTATAACACAGGTCAGAATACTGGGTATCGCAAGAGAAACACTGGTGCCAATATTGTCGCATTTACATCGCCAACAATAAACCAGTAAGTCTTCTCAAATTACACTAACCTTTGTTCAAATCTCACAATTTTATGTATTGTTTCGTTGCAGAGTCGGAATATTCATGAACAGGGAAAGAAACATAAGGAAAATGTTGAAAAATTCCTTAGAAATATTCATCGCAAAGAACAAGAACAACGAAAGGAGGACGAAAAGATCAAGCGGGAATTGAAAAGAATTGAGAGGGTATTTTTATTTATTGTAAAAAATTATAACGTGCTTGCGAATAAACTTCTATATAATTGAATAGGATGCTCTGAAGCAATATAAAAAAGATTTGGTACTCGAAGTTCCCGGTGCCAACATTGCTTCATTACCTCCGCCTCCGCCACCACCTACAGCATCTTATACATCATCCGACTTTCATCAAACAGCTTCGCAATCTGCCACAACATCACAATATTCCGCAGAATTTGTATCCGTTGACACTTCTCACTCAACCGAAGAATCTGTTATCGGCGAATGGAGACCAGTAACACCACCACCAATACCTGCGTCAACCCCAAAACAAGATCCCTTTATAAAAGATGAGCTCAAAGATGAAATAAAAAATGATGATTCATTGCTACCACCACAGGATGACGATGACGAATTCGAAGATCCTGATGATCTGAGTAATTTTAGGGTGGTTGAAAAGGCCCTTCCAGTAGATGAAATAGCAGCAAGAGAAGAAATTGAGGGTGGAACTATTGATATTTCTTTTAAAAAGAGGAAATTCGGAAGCGGGAGCAACAAGGCAAGGAATATCAGAAGGAGAACCGAGTAGACCAATCAGAATATTACAACTTTCGTCTCGTGCATTACGAGAAAGCGATACCCGGTTTTTGAGCCTTCAAATGATGATACACCTCTTAACCTGGGTTATAGTTGATGATGCATACATGTCTATACGAGAGACATCGACTTATAACTATTCACGATGATTCTGTGATTGTTATTGACAATCTCTAATTTATGTAACATGAGTACAAAGAAATGTTATGCACTCCAAATTAGATATTCCGATTGTAGACTCCTCCTTAACAATTAAAAGATTCCATTTTCTATAGCTCGTCATAGAATAGAGGAAGATTCAAAACAAATCAATCACTTATTTCTTCTTCTGGGTTTACATCACCACTTTTTCCTTGATTCTCATTTTCACCTTGCTTCTTCGATAATCTCTTCTTTTTTTCTTCGATTTTTTGTAATAAGTTCTTTGCCGTGTTGAATATGCCGTTTGTGGGTGCTCCACATGCAAAACACCTTGGACTCTTGGAAAAGTTCTGCAACGCACATTTTTCACAAAAATAGTGCACACATCTGAAATAAAAAATGATCATTAAAATGCGTGTCAAACCAGATAGAGATTATACAAAAAAGCATTTCAGAATTTTTGCATTCAGTAAAAAGTATCTCGTCAATTATTGTTCGGAGAGATTCCCATTTGTCGATTCATCATTATGCATTCTTTCATGATAAGTCCGAATATTACTTGCCTGGTAACCACTGGATTCTTAAAATCCTCTCGACATATAAGACAAGCAAAAGGTAATTCTTCGTCATCTTCGTCGCTGCTTTCCACCAGAAATGCGTTTGGATCCTTTCGCAACTTTCCATTCATCTCTTCCCATTCCTTTTCCAGTTGCCAGCCAGTTTTGTAATCACCTCGATCGTGCAAGAATTTGCACGAGTCACCATAACCACAATATCCAGTCTCTGGAAGGAACTAATAAAAATTAGACATTTTTACAAAAAAAAATTTTTTCTTGTAAGGAGCAACAAGTTACCTTTGTAATCTTTGCATATATCGGGCTGGTAATCAAAGCGCGAAGTAACTCGAATATTAGTTGGTGCCCTTATTGGGCCAGCTCTGTAAAGATTGAAAAGAATAAATTAAGATGAATCAAAACCAAAGAACTAAGTGAACCAAAATATTGATATGTTCTTACTTTATCTTGGAACTTGCCGCATTTCCCGCGGCGGTATCTCGCTTCTTGATGTAGGTTTTATAAGAATTCTGCCCTTTGTACAAATTGTCGTCAGCCTGAAAAAAAGAAATGATCAAACAAATATCTCATAAAACATATGATCCCTATTTTTAAATCAAGTAAGTATATAAACCTCTTCAGCGGCTAACTTCTTCTCCAACAAAGCTTGTGCATCCCTGTCTATCTCCGTATCCCATTCTGCGGTTCTTGTAGCAACGTCATGAGGTACCAAAGACATTGCCGATTTGTTAGCGACAAAAGTGACATGGATGTCTTCCTTGACAGTACGCTTTCCTTTTCTTGTGCCTTGGACGAGCGGGTTTGAAGTGTCCAATTTACGTTCTTTAGTTACCACCGCTGTACCCTCTTCCTCTTCTTCAAGGTCTACACCTGCCGAATGTTTACGCTTATTTACATTCTTATTTATTTTACCCTTTTTCTTAAAGAAGGTTACATTTGCATCCTCATTTATTTGAGTAATTGTGTCATCAGCAGAAGGATTTGGAATCGAATCTTTCGAAGTGGTTTCTGACATACTATGTAACTTTTTTTCATGTATATATATTCTGATTTCATATAAATACGTTTCACCTGACAACTGTGCCGATCATCATATAAATTAAAGGTTTTGTGAAGTAACCAACAACAGAAATGTCAACTAGTTCCGACCCTGAAGTTGTCCCATCTTGGCCTTCTCTATATTGGCCCATTAATAACGCCAAAAGTTATAATCTTTCTCATCCGAAGGGTCAGTTTACAACAAGAAAATCATATACATATGCTCTAATAGTCTATTTAACACTTTTTATTTTAATTTTTTATAATCGTGTAGCGAATCTAACGAAAAATTTCACTTGTTTTCGATAAAGATATCTGGAAATTCACAGTAATATGGTCTTTGATATTCTTCACGATAATATACAGCCTTGCGGGAATACTGGCGTGGTCAGTATTTCGTAAATATCGTTGGTCATTTTTGATACCGGTCGGATTCGTTACAGTTGCTTTGTTGACTGGACTCGTGGGCGGAACAGTTGTTGGTGAGAATTGTTCGAACATTTCTGCTTCCCAATTATCACATTGTCACTAAAAAAACATTAAAATTTTTTCTAAAAGGATTTATTCTAGCAGCATTGTATATATCAGGCGAATTTGAAATTTCTGTTTGGATTCCATTTCTTTGGGGTTTAATTCAGGCATTTTTGGTTTTGCTGGGTTGCTTTACAACTTTTACGACCATCCTGTAAGAGATCGGAATTAACTACTTCTTTTCCCCAACTAATATCATTTAAAGTGTACAATATAATTGCGTTGAATAATTGAAATCGAACAATCAAAAAAAAATTTTTTTTTCTTATTAACCATTATTACTACTACCTATGCGACTACAATAATTTTACAAAAGAAAGAACTTTTTTATACACATAAACATTCACCTTGCATAAAAAAAAAATCTTTTATCCATTTTTCATTAAACAAATGAATTCATAAATTGTAATCTTCACCAAATCATTTTTTAGAATTTTATAAAACAGTAAAAAAAAAAATTTCTTTATTTTTATTTAATTAATTATTATTTTTTTTATTTTTTTTGCCTCTAATCAGATTGCAATTTGCTGTGTTTATTAATTTTTCATAAAAATAAAACAATAATATATTGAACCTTTAAATGATATTAGT